GAGTGAGAGTGAGTGAGAGAGTGAGAGGGTGAGAATGAGAGCGCGCGTGAGAGTGAGAGTGAGAGTGAGTAAGAGTGAGAGTGGGAGTGAGAGTGAGAGTAAGTGTGAGAGAGAGAGAGTGAGCGTAAGTGAGTGAGAGTGAGTGTCAATGATGTGAGTGTGAGAGAGTGCGCCACGAAATCTTCACTTCGAGGTTCACAAAGCGGTGCGCCTGCAAAGAAATCTGCACTCTGAGGTTCACAAAGCGCTGCGCTTGCAAAGAAAATCTGCACTTCGAGGTTCACAAAGCGCTGTGCCTGCCACGAAATCTGCACTTCAAGGTTCGCAAAGTGCTGTGCCTGCCACGAAATCTGCATATTGAGGTTCCCCATGTGCTGCGCCTGCCATGAAATCGGTGCTACTGCTTGCTCAGCTGGAATCCTCTCATCAAAAGCTCGTCCCCTTGCTGCTAAGTCTCTGGCCAACAGCAATTCCAGCTTTTCCTGGTGGTCAATGAGTCTTCCGTAGCATTTTGCCTTGCCACCGCTTTGACCAATTTTGTAAAACGAGCAAGCTGCCCTGAGATTGCGTAGTGGGCTCTCTGACGGTGATCGAACCTGGTAGGGCTACACCTACCTCATGGTGAAGTCTTTGATCTTCGAGACTCACTCCACCATCTTCTTCTAGAGCTACTGGAATGTCAGCTCCATCAAATTCTTCAAAGTCCACATCAGTATTGGCTTGTGGGATAGCCAAATCATCAAACACCTCTGGTCCCGGCCTTGGAAGCCGGTGTTCCTCCTCCAATTCAAACCCAAATTGCTCTAGCACAACTCCATCCTCGGCCACAAAGGTCAGCACCTTGCCTTCTCGCCCTTGCAGCTCCTCAATCTCATCTTCATGGTCCAGAAGTCGCATCAGCGGTTCGGCCATCTCAACCATTTCCCACTGACTGCCTCCACCTCTTCTCACCAGCGTCGACCTGCGCATACTCTCATTCTGATGCCTGAGCTCGGGAATGAACTGAGGACTCTGGTATCGGTGACTGTGGTGAACTCCCAGCCAAAACCCCTCCATCTTCTTCCAGCCAAATCCCTCTTCAGCTGTCTTCTTGAGCTCGTCACTCAACTTCACCGCCAACATTCGAACTTGGCCTGGCTCAAGGATATTCGCGCCGACCCTTGGACAACCAAACTCTGGTTCTGGTAGTTCAGCGGCACTTCCACATCTCCATTCTTCAGGCATTCGTCCATGCCGTCAATGGACCACCCGGCTCTCATCAGCCGGCCAAATGAAAGTATTGGCTGCTTCACCACATCACAGAAAGTGACCCTTTCTTTCAGAATCACCTTTCTTCCATCTCGACTTGTCAGGACTATGTCAACGTCCTTGTGACCATAGGTTTTGATCTGTGAGCCCTGCGCATCTTGCAAATAAAGCGATGCGCCGGCCCCTTGAACTCCTCTGCCCATCAAATGCCCAGGAAACAAAGAAGCGTCTGCTCCTGAGTCGACAATGATGGGAAACTCACGACCATCCCACTCCTCATCCATTGAAGCACTTTGAAGTGTCTCTCCTTCTCGAGCGGTGTTGATCACCATCGTCTCCTCGTCGTTCTCCTCATCGGTGTCCATGTGGAAAAATTCCACTTCTGAGGCTGCATCTGCAACTCCCGACAGCATCTCAACCATTCGAACTGAGCCACTGCCCTCGTCACCATCATCACGAAGGTCAAAGATCAGCGGCTGTGACACTCTTCGAACCGCTTTTAGCGCAGTCATTGGGAGTCTCCACCACTCGTCATAGTCGTTGCCGTGGTAGAAGGCGATGTAGTATTTCCTGAACTTGTAACGCTGGCTGTGGGAGGTGATTCAACTTGGCGTACACGCCAACAATCTCTCGAATGGTGTCCCAACTTTCCACAGCTCCAGCACACATCTCCTCCGACTCCTTTGCCTTTGCCTTGCTTTCCATCTTTGCTTTTGCCCTTGCCATCTTCGGCATTTCCTTTCGTTGGCTGCATCTTGGATTTTCCTTTGCCTTTGTCCTCTTTCGACTTGCTTTTGCCCTTTGTGTCCTTTCCTTTGCCTTTTCCCTTCTTGCCATCGCTCTTCTGAAGACGGTCCATCCTCCAGTGTCAACTGCCTGCGTCATTGGGCTCGTAGTCGTGAATGAAATTGCAGCTGACTCGTTCCACTTTGCTGTGGCTGTATCGAAGGCAAGAATTGCTTCCCTGATCTTCTGATACGAACTGCCTTCGTTGAGGGTCAAATTCAAACGTACTTTCATCTGGCCACCAACAGCTCTCAGAAGTACGGCTGCTTTCATATCGGTTGGCAACTTGCTACCACTCAAACGTTCATATTGTATGAAGTGCTCTTCCATCTTCAAAATCTGAGGCAACAACGATGCCTTCATGTTGAACTGTGGGTAGGCCATGATCGTTTGCAGCAAGCTCATAGTCCGATTTCTTGCCTGAGGTTGGCAATTCGTAAGCAGCTGTCTCAAAGCTTTGTAGCCATTGAAATTCTCTACATTCTTTACCACTCCAACGAGGCGTCCCTGTATGAGGCTCCCCAACAAGCTGTATAGAAAGCGGCTTCTGTCCTGTTCAGCCTTGCCCATGAGATCCCAGTCAACTTCTGTAGACAGGTTGGACTTAATGTGCGCAATTTCCTTTTGAAACTCTCGACCAACAACAACCAATAATATTGCCGAAGCGTCCAACACCAGTCCTTCCATTGTACAACTTCCTGCTCTCGATCTGCTGGCGCAAAATTGTTCGGGCGAGGAATAAGTCGCGCTCTGTCTTTCGAAAGGATTCCTGTTGCACCTTCTGAGGAACTGGCTCCTGTCGATGAAGCAGCTTGGGCAGCCTGAGCGGCTTGGGCAGCTGATTGAGCAGCATTGATGAGGGCCTGTGTCAACTCCGGTACTCCACCGCCGGCCGTAGCAAGAGGATCTCCTCCTGATCCATCCATGGTTTCCTAACCAAATACTCTTTCCCTTCTTCACTTCAAGGGCGTGCTCCGTGTCCGGGTGGTAGGACCTCCTCGTGTTCCTCAGGGGCCTAAACAATCTCAAGGATGTGTCCTCACTCGGCGGCCAAGTAGCCACTGGCACTGAGGGCGAGCAAATCGCTACAGTAGTTCTACGGTCGCTCAGCGTGGGCGAAAGCGGCGGACGAAAGGGCTGGCCGGTCCGCCGGAGCTCACCTCCAGACTTAAAGGGTGGAGGATCCCTGCTCCGCTACCATGCGGACATTTTAACTTGAAAGTCAAGGCCTGCGTAAAGTACACTTCTTGATTTGTGTGTGTCATCACACCTGTACTCTCCGATGCAATTTCTCATTTACAATTCCTTTAGGTTTCCTTTTGGTCGAAAAGCTTTAGCTTTATTGAGGGCTATGTATTTTTAGGTTCAGCCCCTTGACAATTCCTTCAGCGCTACTTACATTGATTGCTTTCATTTCCTTTCCTTTCGTTGTCCTTTCAATTTCTTTTCTTGTCCTTTCATTTTCCCTTTCATGTCCTTTTCTTTCCTTTAATTTCCTTTTCTCTCATGTCCAACTCAAATCAAGATTTTCTAGAAATTTTATGGGTTCCCTATTTTTTAAGGCCCGCGCTTGATCAAGGGGGGAGCGGGGGGTTTATTAATAGGAGGTGGACATTACTGCGCATGCCACGAAATCTGCACTTCGAAGCAAAACCGCTCCGATCCCTTGCACCTGCCACGAAAAGTGACCTGCATCGAAATGGGATGCAATTCTTCTGCCCTTCCCCTTTTTTTAGGGGCTGGCTTTTGACCGCCGCGTGCGAAAATGCACGCGGCACCACAACGAGAGCGCAGTCGGGAGAGGCATGAATGTACTGTAAATAGCAGCAAATTAGCCGCGCACGCCCGCGCACACAGCAATCTAGCACAGGTGCTTAACACCTACCGTGAGAACCCCTAAGTGTGTCCACACTGTTTGGGGAACTTTCTTACTACTTTGCTTCGAGTGATCCCCACCATGGCAGTATACTCTGCAGATAGCCGACGGCTATATTGCTTCAACATCGCCAAGAAAATATCTATCTCATCTTGCATATACTGGCATTTTTTCGGGCAGTCTACCTGGCACACTTTCTGTGTAACTTTCTGACATTCTTTCTGGCAATCACTCTCACAACTCTTTCTGGCACTCTATC